ATCACGCTTAAAGCAACTAAAATATTCAAACCCAAAATATAGTCAATGGTTTATAAAAGGAATGCAAGTGAGAAATAAAACAGAGTTCACAGAATTAATAAGAGACAAAGAGGTAAATGCAATTAACAAACAGAACCAAGATCATTTTGTATGGGACACTTCACCATAAATTTACAATTGTTACAAACATCTATATACTGAGTAATATAAGGCAGAAACTATCACGCTTAAAGCAACTAAAATATTCAAACCCAAAATATAGTCAATGGTTTATAAAAGGAATGCAAGTGAGAAATAAAACAGAGTTCACAGAATTAATAAGAGACAAAGAGGTAAATGCAATTAACAAACAGAACCAAGATCATTTTGTATGGGACACTTCACCATAAATTTACAATTGTTACAAACATCTATATACTGAGTAATATAAGGCAGAAACTATCAGAAATGCAAGGGGAGTCTAATACATATTTCTGTCCTTGACAGACTAAGTTGTCACAAGTTGATCATTTAAACATTCCAATGCAATTATAAGGGTAATTTGAGAGGTTTCACCTTCTTTTCCAACACCCATGAAACATTTGCAAAAAATGATCTTATATTAAACCACAAGACAAATGTCAAACATTTTTTTAAACCTAGAAAGCATATATGCCACATGGCCTAAACCCACGTAAAAAAATTACAGAGAAGACTATGTTTTTAAAAACCAAAGCTGTTGGGGCGCCTGGGTGGCTCAGTGGGTTAAAGCCTCTGCCTTCGGCTCAGGTCATGATCCCAGGGTCCTGGGATCAAGCCCCGCATCAGGCTCTCTGCTCAGCGGGGAGCCTGCTTCCCTTCCCCTCTCTCTGCCTGCCTCTCTGCCTACCTGTGATCTCTGTCTGTCAAATAAATAAATAAAATCTTTAAAAAAATAAAAAATAAAATAAAAAAATAAAAACCAAAGCTGTTCATAGCACTGTGACGCATAATAGCCAAAAAGTGAAACAATTCAAATGTCCATCCAATAAATAGATAAAATGCGGTTTCCACACAATGGAATGTTATCTGACAATGCAAAGGAATGAAGTAATGATTCTGCTCCAACATGTATAAACCTTGGACACATGATAGTAAAGGGAAAAAAGCCAGTCATAAAAGACCACATACTGTGCAATTAAATTTCTATCAAATGTCCAGAATAAGCAAATCTATGGAGACAGAAAGTAGACTGGTGGTTGCCAAGGGCTGGGGTGAGGGCAGAAGAGAGCTGGCCAGAAGGGAAACGGAGTGACTGCTAACGGGTGCTGGGTCTTAGGAATGATAAAAATGTTGCAAAATTGTGTTGATGGCTGCACAGCTCTGTGAATGGACTGAAAATCACTGAACTGGACAATCTAAATGGATAGGACATAAATTCTAACCCCATAAAACCATTTGAAAATTCAAGCCCTTAAAAATTAAAAAAAAAAAAAAACAAACCACTACCTTAACTATTAAGTGGATAAAAGAAAAACTGAAACCATAAGCACAGAACATTCCAAGAACACCACTGAGAACACCGTGTCACAGAGCCTGTAGCAGCAATCACAGCAAAATGGACGCCCTTAACTGTTTTCCAAATTAAAGTGGAGAGAGAAATATTTATACACACGAGTCAATTAACAGAAATAACAAAACAATGTAAGGAAAACAGGGGAGATGAACGATAAAGGACAAAAGCAGAATTCCGTATTTCATCAAATACAAGACATCATTATAAACCATAGTTATCTTATGTATCACTCGGAAAAACGCTGCCAACTAAACGTCATAAGCTTTGTTCGCAGCCGATTAAAAGATGCATCTCAACTTCGGAGGTGCTGACATGTGGAGACAAAAAGCAACCTTAGGATGACAGAATATAGTAAACTAGAAGGTAGAAGGACACCATGACTGATAAATACAAAGTCGAATTCTCTGGGAAGACCAAAAGACACAGCTCTGACAAAGCAAATGAAAAAAAGAAAGAGAAAACAAAAATGCAAACTATCACGAATGCGAAGCAAATACAAGCATCCATACATCGGAGGCTAAAATTTATAAGAGAATACTATATAAAACTATGGTCAAAAAAGACTAAATGAGGAAAAGAACGCTATGCAAATAATTTTATAAACTTGGGTCAAGCGGACAATTTTCTACGAAAACTAAATTTCCCAAACTGACTTTAAAAGAATTTGAAAACCGGGGCGGCTCAGTCAGTTAAGCATCCAACTCTTGATTTCGGCTCAGGTCATGATCTCAGGATCATGGGACTGAGCCCCATGTTGGGTTCCACGCAGGGCATGGAACCTCCTTAAGATTCTCCCTCTCCCTCTGCCCTTCCCCCCGCTTGTGTTCTCTCTCTTTCTCTCAAAAACACCAAAAAAAAAAAAAAAAAAAAAGGGGGGGTATTAGAAAACAATGTTCAGGGGCACCTGGGTGGCTCAGTGGGTTAAAGCCTCTGCCTTTGGCTCAGGTCATGATCCCAGGGTCCTGGGATCGAGCCCCACATTGGGCTCTCTGCTCAGCAGGGGAGCCTGCTTCCCCCTCTCTCTCTGCCTGCCTCTCCACCTACTTGTGATCTCTATCTGTCAAATAAATAAACAAAATCTTTTAAAAAACGAAAACAATGTTCATGGAAGACATCTGTAAGCTATAAAAATATACCTCCAAAAAATTAACACTAGATCTCTGAAAATATTAGGGAGCCACTTCTATTAAACCTTAATTTTCCTTATTATTAGTACTATTTTTAGGTCATAAAAAGACAAATTTTTTTCATGAAATTAGCATTAGCATGAAACCCAAACTACAAGAAGTATTTTTCACCTCTCAAATTGGCAAAGAAAAAAAATGAGAGAGAAAGGAAAAGAAAAAAAACCCACACAGCCGAAAATACACAGTATTTGTTTACCTAGGAAAAACAGATCATTTTATCCCCTTGCAATAAAAATGTAAGTTGCTACAGCCTCTACAGAGAGCATTTTGAAAACATACCAAAAAGGCAAAATTCTGCATATGTTTTGACCCAATAATCACACTTCTAAGAATTTACTGTAAGGTAATAATCTTAACTATACGCAAGAGGTTTTTGCAGTAAGGATGCTTGCTGCGACATTTTGATAACAAAAGTGAAGAATCAACCTAAATGTTAATGTTAGCAAATGCAAGTTTGGCAAATCCATGCAATGGGATTGAGACATAGTACTGAAATACAGGTAATGACATTAAATGTTCGCTATTTATGGATTTTTATATGCACCCAAACAAATGAGAGGATATGATGCAAAACACTGAAAATATCTACAAGGGGTGACAAAAGATACTAATTTTCTTCCCCTAATCCCTTACAATGAAAATGTATTATTTTCTAATCAGAAAAATCAATAATCATTATAATTTTGTTGGTACAAATCTTATAAAATATGTTAATAATGCCCAGAGAACCAGAACAGAGGAGTTTGTGCCTGAGTTCCACTAGTTCACAAGGATGTGGATGAACCAGTAAGTCTTGTGACCCTTCTGAGCTGGGGAGGCTGGGGAGGCTGGTGACTACTCACTCACAAGTTACTTATATAAAAGTACCATATCCCTTGTTTCCTGGTGCTCAGCAAGGTCCCCATCCTTGGGAAATATCAAAGGCCTGTTCTGATCCGAGGACCTCACCAATTACCTTTTTATCCATTGCCCATGCTGCTTCTGGAAATTTCTCAACTAGAAACTGTAAAAACATCTAATTTGGCACTGAGCAGGTTTCTTAATAAATAATAAGCCAATTCAGACTCCTACCTAGATAGGGAATACTGGGAACCATCTTCAGGCTTCGGATATACTCCCGGGTCCGCTTGTAATTGTCTTCTTTAGACATCAGGTAGTCCAATTTCTCAAAAGTGGTCTTGTCTTTTCGATTCAAAAGCTGAAGTGAGAAGAAAATATAGAGAGTATGAGAGAGAAGAGAAATAAACCAGGAAAAAAAAAAAAGGCGAACTGTGCACAGAGACCGAGGGAAACGTCCTAAATGACATGTCTGCAGTGTACCAAGTCCTGGGTACAACTGAAGACTTTAAGAGGCTGTTACATGCAGAGATGAAAAGTTTCATGGCCTCGATTTTGTCACTTGTCATGGAATCTCACATTTGGAAGATATCTTCCAAAGCCACCTAGTCCACAGTTCTAAATGACGCCATGACACCCTGAATGGTAGTTGCCTCCATGGGTGCACAGATCCTACAATACCAAGGGGCTCACGGAGTGACGCCCATTCCACATAAACGGCTCCCCAGAGTTTCTGCACCACTACATCAGGTCTCTCCCTGCGTCCACAGCTTCTAGCTCTTTCCTCAAAATGCCGAAGGCCCCAGGAGATCTGACAGGGTCCCTTCGTGCATGTTGTGCCCAGAGGCAGGCCGCCTCTCCCACCCAGGCTCTCCCACATGCCCTGCAGTTGACGGCCGTGTCATATTTATACTTGGTACAGTGTTTTAATCCAGAGTAGCCAAGCTTCTTCTCCACAGGCAGTCATTTACGGGGGGACGATCCTTTATGACTGAGATAACCAGTATGTAAAGCTTGGGCACCCAGGGAGGAATGGCCATTGTAACTAAGGAGCCTTCTTAGAAGGAAGGAATAGAAATCTGAACTCCTGGTTTTCTAGACTGGATGCTAAGGACTCACGTTGTGGTTGTCCTACAAGTCCCAGGTTAAGACCCAGTACCAGGAAATGGCAAGAAGGCCCCTTAAATAAAATGGCTTTGAGGAAAGGAGTCTAGGCTGGGAGATGTGGTTTCACAAGAGGATTTAGGGGAGGGTCACTCGGAGAGGGCTGGCTTTGGCACAGCATGTGGCTGATATTTGGAGCTCCCCTAGCTTTAGCTTCCAGAGCCCAGGGCCTCCGGGATTTGAGATCAATGGCTGATATGGCAGGATACATGGGGCATTGTTGGTCAAGCCTGGTATTGGGGCCCTGATGGTCAGTGCAAGGATGTGGGCCTGCAGCCCTGCCACACCCATCAGACTAAGCAGGCCAGCGTCCAACTGTCCCGTCATGCAGCATGGAGAAGTGGAACAGTCACTGTCCACCACCAGGGGAAGCAGGCCTTTTGCACCCAAGTAACGCCTTTGGGTTTAGTAAAAATACAGTGCAGTTCCTAGGAACTGGGTCTGCAAATCCCAGACTCAGGCCACGTCTGGTGCATCAGAGAACCCAAACTGTTCTGGGCAGGCCCTGCCCACATCCTTGACCCTCGGCCTCCAGAGTCACGGAGGATGCAGCCATACAATGGCCCAGCTAAGCAGTGACAGCATAAGGGCTTCAGGGAAGAGTGGCAAAAGAATTAGCTGAGAAAAAAGGTCCCAGTGCTGAAGAAGTTGGAGAGTAAACAGCAGACTTTTTCCCCCACTGAGAAATTCAGGACGTATGAAAGCAGAAATGCTGCACAGAGGCGAGGGGCAACAGTTGCTTAACTGGCTTGCGAGTCTAAAGCTGCTACCCAGACTCACATGAACAAATGCACAGGAAATGACAAGACCTCCCATTTGTTTCTGGTACGCCGTGACGTACGCCTCATCTGGTCTCTACAAAGCCCAGCGACAAAGATGGAGCCAGAAGCAGCAGGTCCAACAGCACAGAGATGAAGGGACCTGTCTGAGAACCTGGAGGAATACGACTCGACAGAGACGAGGGACGTATATTATAGCAACGCCGTAAGCAAATAGAGACCAAAAATCCAGACAAATCAGAAATAAATTATGGGCAAGGGAAGCATCAAGGAAAGCTCCGCATAGAGAAGAGCATTTGAGATGAACATTTAGGGATGAGAAATTCACTACAGAACAACATACACCCAGATCAGAGCCAGACACTCTAGCTGTGACCTGCCGCACCGTAAGCCTGAGCAGACTCCTCCCTCTGTTGGCCGGGAGGTCATTTCTTTACTAAATGCAACCTAGAACCCCACAGAATTCTTTGGCAATCAGCCATGTTCATTCAACAGTCAAACAATCCCAGTTACCTTCACACCCTGCAGCTGAGCCCCCCAATGTTTCCACCACTGGTTCTCTGGACCCGGCTGGAGGACTGCCCATGTCCCCCGCCAGGCCCAGCCTATCTGCCTAGCCCGTCGAGTGCCTCTACACGTGGTACTGCGTCGGTGATCAGCCTGTCATCTGTGTCCTAGATATGGACAGATGGACAGGACCAGGCCAATACGAGGTTAGAGAGGCCTGTGGGATGTTCCTGAAAATCACCCTAGACATTGACTTCAAACCAACAATTGCGGTTCTTTAGCAGAGGGAGACAACCAAAGACAGCCACATTTGCATGCTTCCTAAAATTAAAACCAGGCTCCTCCAGGTCACACCTCCCTCTGTTAACCTTGCCTCTGTAGACATACGTCCTACCAATCCCCTCACCATGTCTCCCCCACCCCCGCCAACTACACACATTCACACACACATCCAGAAGGGCTGGATCTGGTTAACTTCACTCGTCTGCTCCATTCTGTGCCCACAAATGAAATTCGGGATGGCATCAGATTTCTGAGTAGTAGTGCTCAGGATGCTTGAAGACTCAGAACATCTATTTCTCATGCATGTATTTGAAAACTACTTGAGAACTTCCTCTAGCAAAATAAGGGAATAAACCAAATACAGGAAGAGATGGGATACAGGAAACGGTGGATCCAATCAATCCGGGAGTAGTAAATGGAGGCTCTGGAACGACAACAACAGGACTTCAGAGTGACTGGCTCACACACTGTCAGCCCTGGAAGAGAAGTCTCCAGAGAAGGAGAAGGCTCAGTAGAAAACCTGCTAGGACGGCATATTTGTTTGGGGGAGGAAACAGATCTGTGTTTTTTTTTTTAAGATTTTATTTATTTATTTGACAGACAGAGATCACGAGTAGGCAGAGAGGCAGGCAGAGAGAGAGGAGGAAGCAGGCTCCTCCCCACTGAGCAGAGAGCCCAATGTGGGGCTCGATCCCAGGACCCTGGGATCATGACCTAAGCCAAAGGCAGAGGCTTTAACCCACTGAGCCACCCAGGTGCCCCAAGATCCATTTATTATACATAATTTAAAAAATAAATAAATAAAATACTTTTAAGATTTTATGTATTATGTAAAAGTCTCATACTATAAAATATGATTCTATATAATAAATAAAATAATCTAAAAACTACATATTTATAATATATAATATATATGTCGTTGAACCTTGAACAATGCAGGGGTTACGTAGCTGACCACCTACACAGTCAAAAATCCACATGGAACTTTTGACTCCCCCAAACCTTAACTACGAACACTATTGTTGACCAGGAGCCTTACTGACAATATAGTCAATTAATACATATTTTGTGTGTTACATGTATCATATACTGTTTTCCTATAGTAAAGAAAGCTAGAGAAAAGAAAATATTAAGAAAATCGTGAGGAAGGGAAAATACATAAACAGCACTGGACCGTATTTATCGAAAAAATTCTGTATGTAAGTGGATACATGCAGTTCAAACCCATGATGTTTAAGGGTCAAATGTATTTTATAAAAATCTGGTAAAATATATGTAATAGTTTTATATGTATATATGTGCATGTGAATCTACCAGATATGCCACCCATTATACATCTATCATGTAACATTATATAGTCACTATTCTATATTAGATATACCATAACACTGTAATAGATATACTATACTATAATATTCTATTATAATTATGTAACACTGTAATACTGTATTATGTAACATTACATATTTTATCTGGTAGACAGACAGTAGTTAGAGTAAGAATTTTTTTTTAAGGGAATTAGAAATTCCAGGGAATCAAAATGGTGTTCCAGGAAGGACGCGTTACTCATAGTTTACTAGTTGACTCTACAGAGAAGCGTATTTACACACTCCTACTAACTAAAACACTGAATACTCCCTTAACAAGAGTGATTTAACTATAGTAACGTGAGTGTTTTGTTTTGTTGTTTTAATTAGGTTCCATGTCCAGTGTGGAGCCCAACCAGGGCCTGAACTCACAATCCTGAGATGGACCTGAACTGCCATCAAGGGTCAGATGCTTGGAGCGCCTGGGTGGCTCAGTGGGTTAAGCCTTTGCCTTTGGCTCAGGTCATGATTTCAGGGTCCTGGGATGGAGCCCCGCATTGGGCTCTCTGCTCAGCGGGGAGCCTGCTTCCCCCTCTCTCTCTGCCTGCCTCTCTGCCTACTTGTGATCTCTGTCAAATAAATAAAATCTTAAAAAAAAAAAAAAAAAGAGTCAGATGCTTAACCAGTGGAGCCACGCAGGTGCCCCAGTAACGTGAGTGTTTTTGAAGAAAGAAAGAAGGTAGTTCAAGAAAACTAAACCAACATCCATCATACAAGGAAGTCACCAATTATTACCTAAAGTGAATGGATCAGGAAATTGTAGCAAAAACACATCAGTGGAAATGTGACAGAAACTACCAGAAAAAACCACTAAATAACTCTAAGTGGTTGCCTCTGGGGAATGGGGTATGAGGGATGGATCAATGAGTCTTAGTTGCTTCACTAACCCTTTCTGTACTTAGTGATTTTTAAAATTAATATGCATGTAGTATGCTGAAAAAAATTCTTTTAAGACTTAATTTTTTAAAAGATTTTACTTATTTATTTGACACAGAGAGAAAGCAAGAGAACAGCAGCAGCAGCAGCAGCAGAGGGAGAAAGAGAAGCAGGTTCCCCACTGATCAGGGAGCCCAAAGTGGGACTCGATCCCAGGACCCTGGGAACATGACCTGAACCAGAGGCAGATGCTTAACCGACTGAACCACCCAGGCGTCCCAAGACTTTATTTTTCAAATGTAGAGTTTGTTTATTCAAAAAATAACCAGGATTTATTCCTGCATGTTTCAAACTTTTATTACAACTAGAGCCATAAACTGGAAACC